GCCTCTTCCTTCTTCGCTGACTCTTGGTCGTGATCTAGGTGTCGAGCCTGATCCTTGACCAAGCCGCTTGAAGACGAATCGGTTCAAAGGCTTTCCATCTGAGCCACAACCTCGTCCAATTCTGCCTTGGTGTGCTTGTGCTTCTGTTCCGCCTCTTCGAATTTTTGCTCCCACCCATCGCGCTCCCTCTCGAGACTGGCCACCTGTCTCTCAAAGTGCTCAGCTTTCACGTCGGTTTGACGCAATCTACAAAGGATGAGTGGGATAAGGTTGAAGAAATATGCACGACGAGTGTCAGAAATGGTTCGCGCGTTGGAGTTTGCAGCGAGAGAATCTACGCGTTTCAGGGCACTATCCACCGGGCAGAATGGCCGGGCCGACGACGCTTGCTAGCACTGCGCGAACAGTCGTCTCCTCCCCACCATTTCCCCTGGTGCAGAAGCTGAGAAGCGAACATGCTACCCTCCACCGCACCAGCCTGTCAAAAGCCTTCGATGAATGGCGTGCCGAAAGCAGCGCGTCTCAACACCCTACGCTCCCGTTACGCGCTCAGATGACCACAACGGCGCTGGAAGCCAAGAACCTGCCTAGATGCATGCCATGTCGCATGGAAAAACATTCACTCACTTCTCGGTGGTCTCGCGCAAGTTCTTTTCGGCATTGTCGAGTTCCTCTTCAAGAAGAGAAATCTTTCTAGAAAGATCATCGGCAGCAGTCCTAGAAGATTCGTGATCATTGTGACTAGCTTTAGCTTCGTGCAATTTAGCCTCCGTCTTGTCCAGATCTCCTTCGAGGAGACTGTTCTTGTGAGAGAGGGAAGCGATCTCTTGATCCTTTGTGAGAATCTCTTGCTCTAGGTCCTTCACGCGCTTCTCGGCTGCTTCAGCTCGATCAATAGCTTGATCAGCCTCGGCTCGAAGAGAGTTGAGTTTCTGAAAAGCAGCAAAGGGCAATATAAGGGGGTGCGATCAGCGGTGAGGTGGATGGCGCTGGGTACCCGGACGCTCTACAAAATCGCTCACCTCCTTGATGCGGTCCTGGATGAGTGCAAAGCGTGCATATCAGAAGGGTGGCGATCGTTAGCTACCCACCCTACAGTGCATTTGGCCATGCTCTGAAGGATGTGCTCAAGTCTCGCGCCACAAGGTCGTAGTCAATACGCACCATGATGGTCTATCGACTTGGAAAAAGACCAATGTAATAGAAGATACCCGTTGGACGCAGAAGATTCCAGTACCAGTATGAATGCAGTACTTGCTCACTCGTGATAGAGAGAAGCGGCAGTGAAGAGTCAAGCGCAAGTGTTGGAGGATGGTGGAGGAGGAGTGCATGGAGAGTGCCAAGCTGGACAACGGCAAACACCTCAGCTGAATTGCAGCCATGCAAGCATCAGTGTGAGTCAAGTCACAGTCAAGTGTGAGTCGTGCAGGCCATAGACTTGCAACAGCTCACCTCGTGACGCACTCTGACTGCTGCTGACTGCATAATGCCAGAGCGCTCCATCGCACGCCCACGCCAACCCGCCCGCGCGCTGAGCCGCCTCGCGCATCCCATTGCACACATCAGCAGCAATGGTGAATGAGCATAGACGGCCGTGCGCAACTCGCGCCGGTGATGCGCCGGCGCGCAGCGTGTCGACTGTACGTTGTCGACATCGACGTCGTGCAGCATGCGCGCCCACGCGCTCAGAGAGCCCCTCGCCGCGCCGCTTTCATCGTTGCGCTGGCGCGCGCGCGCGCGCCCGCCGCCGCGCCTTGGCTGCGTCAATATCTCAATCACGTGTGTCCGCGCGGCTAGGCGCGCCGCGACGCGTCTGCTGCTGGCCCGCGGCAGCTGTTTGATGATCGAGCGAGCGAGCGAGCAGCTTTGGAACGCGCGCGCGGGTATGAATGGAGGGAGTGATCTTCGCCGGATCGCCTTGCGATTGATACACGATCGGTGCGTGATAGCTGGACTGTATATGCTGATGCTTTCATTCTTTAATGGCGTGACTCTTCTGTTGTCCCAGACATCACTCCACCCTCTCGGCACTACTCTTTCCTGCATTCATTAGCGAGCCCTGACAAGACTTCTCATCTGCCGCAGACAATGGCCATCACGACTGACCTGCTAGGCGCCAGCACCATACCCGGCAGCTCCGCCACCGGTCCAAACTCCATCCACACTCTTCAAAGCGTCCCCTCCTCCACGCTACTAGCGCCCACACCAGCATTACGCCGACTGCTGACCATTCTGCCCAAAGCCTCTGTCTGCTCTCTCGTTTCGCGCTGGTTATCATCTCTATCATCTTCCGGTCGATCAACCGATCGAGACATTACACCTCCCTCTTTCAGTCGTCGCAATGCAGGCGCTTCGACTGGGACCTCCACGTCAACCTACTTGGACCTGCACGAGTCTAGAAGGGCCAGGAATGTCGAGGAACTCAGAGCTTTGTGGAAGGGACCCATGTTGGATGGCAGAGTGCCCAAGAGCAGAGCGGTGGATCGGATTATGGAGACTGATTGGCCAGAGGGAATCAGCTACGCTATGGCCTCGATGATCTCTGCTGAAGCGCTTCAAGTCAGTCCGACTAGTCGCACATGGACAGCTGCAAGGGCTTTCTTTGACGACGGAGATGCGAGTGAGTGCAAGGCGTGGAGAGCAAGCCCAATGCACAAAAGGAGAGGCAGTCGCCGATAGCGCTCGCTGACTCTGACGCAACTTGCTCGCCTTCTCAGCACCTTCAAGCTTGCGTGGCATCTCACCTCAAGCCATGCAGGCGCGTCTGACATCGGAGCTGCGCAATTACTTTACACACCACCTCTATCTTTTACAAACACCCGGCACCTCCATCACCTCGTCCTTTATCCACCTACACCTCACCCTCCCACCACACGCTCCAGACATGTGCGGAGGTACGCACATCCTGTACGTGCCTGGAACGCGCTGGGTGCTTCTGAGCGGATCGCTGGGCCGTACAGGCGGCGGAAATTCCCGCAGCATCCTGCATGCCGCTTTGGCTCAAGCTTTAGGAGCTCTAGAAGTAAGGGGTCCCAAAAGTGCTGTTGCTGGTCGGTCGAGCACGAAAGGTGGCAGAGATGAAAATGATTCAGAAGAAAAGGTAGACAAGACGCTACCCGAACTCAAAGGAAAGGATCCCAGAGCGCTATTGGATGTGCTCCTAGCTGGAGAGGCAGAGGGTGCTGGAGTTTCTGCCACCAAAAGCGATGCTGGATTTGGGAATGCAAGTGCGAGACCCGGAGCTGAGGGAGGCGCGGGAAGAGCTATGAGACATGGGCAGGCCGAAGATGAACCGCTTCTAGGGGCCAATAAGCGCAAACGTCTGCTGAACGCTTTGTCAGCCGACGCCCAACTTCAAGAATCGAGTCCAGCCGACTTCAATGCCACTGGTATGGCGGAGCATCCGGCAGTACGCGCCGCTCGACTCTCACTGCAGCGCACAGTGGAGACCAATCGACAAAAGGAGATCAGAGAATTGTTTGGCGAAAGGATGGGAAAGGGGAATAAGGATGTACCTAGCATCGAGCGGATAGACTACGAGCTGCATTTACCTACGCCGGCTGAGGGTCCGTATCGGTCCGTCTCGCTCGTCGGACCTGGTGCAGAGCCCATACGACTCAGGATCCAAGGTACTCACATTCTCGCTGGAATGAGAGCTTTGGTACAAAGCGGCGCGGACGACAAGAGCGCCAACGCAAAGGATGGGAAGAGGTCGGAAGAAGAGGCTGGAGCAGCGCGACGTGATCGCAAAGGATTGCCCACTTGGTTGACGGATGTCAGAGGTACTCGTGTTGTCGTCAGACCCGTCAAGAAAGCTGCGGAAGGGGAGGACTCTTTGGAAGCATGATGAGCGCATTGCTCTCCGCATCGCTTCACGCCACGACTTGACGGGCCCTCATCGGTCTTCTTCGTCCGTCGAAAGAGGAAAAAGGCGAAGGATGCTTCAGGCCGCCCATTCTGCAGCATCGATCCCGATCCTGACCGGCGCTTCCCCGTAACGAGTGGATACGCCCTGAATGTTGGCAGCATGCGCCACACCAAACAGTGTTGCTCGCACTTGCTCGCCCTCTTGATCCGCGCGAGAGTCGGAACGGATCTTGCTTGCCTGCAAATAGGCCTCGACGTTGGGAAGAGGATCGACTTCCCAAGCTTCAACGCCGTGCACGCGACCCAGGGAAGCGAGCCAGTACGCTACGCCCGCTAGAGATACTTGTACGTGCGAACCTTTGCTACTACCGCTCAGCTCGTGGCGGATCAAGGAAGCTAGAATGCCAAAGGCCTTTTTTGAGCGGGCCGGATGTGGCGAGGTATGCGAAGAGCGGATGATTGAAAGCAGGATCAACATGTCGATTGAGAGCTTCTCTTTGAGCTGGAGAGCGATTGCGGAATGTGCTGAGCTGCGCCACGCACTGATCACTCACCAACATGTACGCCGCTGCGTGGTCCAAAGCTTGACAAGGCAAGGCTCTGGGCTCGATAGCTCCGGAATCCACATTCGCATTCACATCCCCTTCTGCCTCGCATTGCTTGCTTTTGCGATAGCGCGCGTAGGATAGGGCTTCTTCATGATTGATGCCGCACGCGGTCTGCGTCAACGAGTCAAACTGTCGAGTTGGGTCCGATTGTGAATTTGGACGCACGAACGGATGTGCGGTTGGGGGGAGGGGGTTCGGAACAGGTTGACAAGATGGGGGCGAACAAGTCAGCTGCCGCGTGCCCACGACCACGCAAGCATGTCCGGAATGGACGAATATATGGCCAGGTGGATGGATAGATGGTTAGCATGGCCTGTACTGGGAAGAAGCACTCACGCCGCGAACATTTGACCATGGACCTGTGAAACCGTATGCGGATAGGGATGCGTAGACGATACCTGGACGAAGCTGCTGCGCTTCTGATGGCGAAAAGCCTTTGGAAGCGATCGAGCCCGCTGGAAAGCGTGGGGAGCCCAGTGCGGACGGACAATCAATGAAGGGTCGTACTCGCGCGCCACGGACCAAGAGAATGCAGCCTAGCTTACACTCACGTCTGTATGCTTGCAAGACAACATCTGTGCCCTGTATCAACTGCTTGAATGTCTCTCGGTCTTGTGCCTCGTTCAAGTCGAGCCTGGCACATCGCTTGCCTCTGGCAGTATCCAATTCTGCCAAGGGAAGATTTGGCAAGTTTTGGCTGGATATTTGCAAGACTTGCGAGCCGTGCAGCGCTAGGGTGCGCGCTGCTATAGGGCCTGCTAGGACTCTGGACAAGTCTAGCACGCGAAGTGCCCCTAGGTGGGAGGTGGGACCTAGTAAATTGCCATGAACACTGGGATGCGTAGAGGTTGGAGGTACTGCTTGTGCAGCTGCCTCGCGCTTAGAGCCGCATGTTTTTCGCACTCGCAC